TTCTTGATAAAAGATTTCCCCAGGCTGTAATCCCATATGAATAGACATCTCCGGAGTATGTGTATTCGTCGTGGAAAGTTTCTGGTGCTGCGTATACGGGAGTCCCAAGTCCTTTGTCTTCATTCTTTTTCATCGTCTTTTTGACAAATCGTGATGTACCAAAGTCTGTGATTTTGACTGAACACACCGAGTGTGGGTCCAATGAATTGACCAACAAATTGTCTGGTTTCAAGTCCAAGTGCATGATTCGATTTTCGTGTAAAAATTGCATACCTTTTGATGTATCAAATAACATGCGAACTTTTAACTTGTAGGGGAGTTTTAAATAGTCCTTTCTGTCTTTTCTTAAAAATTCACCCAATGATCCCAAAACGAAGAATTGAATGACCATTGATACTTGTGGTATGTAAGTCACTGCTCAATGTAACTTGCTATAAATGGATTATGTAATTTGCTCATAATATCACATTCAGACTCAACTTCTCTTTTCAGTTCAGCCATCTCTGTATCTGATAGACTCTCCCATCTAAATGCTTGATTGCAACCGGAACACTTCTGTAATTGCCAATGTATACTCTACCCATTGCACCTTCGGCTATTGGAGTTTCAGACATATTCAGTTCATCCATATCCAAATGGACTGTATTCATGGCATCTGTGGTTATAACCAAGTTATCGTAATGTCGCCTTCTAACATCTTTACAAAGACTTTTCATTTTCTTTCGATCATCATCCATCCAATTCTCAAATGTCTTGTTTTTAAAACATTTGAAATTGAAGTCAATGTACTTTTAGAATGTGAAAACCACACCGAATATGGGATTTTCAAATCTCTAATTCGAGTAGTACAATGAATTGTTATATAACAAGTTACTGTATGAGGAGAAGCTATTCTTGGACGAATTATAAGCACTTGTGGATCAAAATAAAAGGTGTATTCTGGGTTGTTTGGAGTGTGGAAAATGATCATCATCCATTTATTCTTTGAGTAATTCTTGACTTCCATTTTCTCGAATCTTGTATGTCCAATTGCCGTGAGTTTGGTATCATTGCCAAAATCAAGTCGAGTTGGGGTTATTGAATACCTTGACTGTTTTCCACTAAGTGCTCGAGTTGCTCCACTGATATAGAAATGATAAGACGGTTGTTGTGTTTTGTAGATGTTGATATCTATTTTCTTGTATCTAAATACAAAGATAAAAATAATCAAAAAACTGCCAAGCACAATAACAAAGAAAGCAATTGAACCAATTACTATCCCAACAATATCACCAGCATTTAACGTTTTTTCGATACAACTAAATGGGTCATCCGGAGAAGTGATGAATCCTTCAATACACTGGCAAGTGATATTACAGTTCACGCCACCGTCACATTCTTCAGTTCGAATATACTTTCCATTTGATTCATAGTACTTGTCTATTATTCCATTGCCACATTTATTACTAACACATACACCACCATAACTCGAATAATTCATTTTGTCATCACAATGACATCCACCATCACAACCTTCGGTGTCTAATTTGCATTCATCGCCATTGCCTATGTCACCATTTCGACATTCAGCTGTAACGCACATGTGATTATTTACACCTTTTCCGTTTGTGCATTGACAGTATTGGTCACAGTCTTTGGATCCAAAGTAACACAAATTTGATTCAGCTGGGATTTGCCATATATTATTGTAATAACACAACAGGTGGCAATCATCTCCACCATATCCATTTTTACAAACACATTCACCTAAATCTGTGTCACATCTTCCAAATCCTTTTTCGGCATTACAATCATTGGGACAAATGATTGAAAGTGTCATTTTAACTTCAACTCTGAAATTTTCAGATAAAAAGGATAAGTAATGTCTATCTGTTGTGTTATCCAACCTTACATGAATTCCATTGCCTTGATGAGTATTACCATCGTCTTCTCTTGATAGTATTGTGTCAAGTTTTTTGCCAACAGAATATTTCTTACATGATCTTTCAAGTACATTGCCATCATCGGCATATTCCATGTGCAATTGATTTAGGTAAACAACTCTGTTTGCTGCTCTTGTGTCAATAAATACATAGCCTCGACCTTTGTATTCTAATGTAAAAAGCATTGCTTTCATAAAAACACTGGGCATACAAGCTGAGTATACGTAATACCCTATTTGTTCAAATGGTATAACAATGGTTGTTTTCTTAGTCAAATCCATAGATAATTCGTTGAAAAAATCCTGTTTGATATCAAAAGATTCTTTAATCTGAAGACCATCCTCTTCTTTTAAAGTGAGAGAACAGGATAATTTATTAGTATATCCATTGATAGATGCAAAGAAATAATAATAAATAGTTTGGTTCAAATCTGTACCTTCTCTGATCAAGTATGGAAACTTTCCAAATGTTTCATAATTTGTTTTATTTAAAAGGAAATGAATGAAACAGAATAAGTTCGAAGCATAATATTGTGAATTGGTACCATCTACAAATAAATCAACTTGTTCATCAGTACTGTCCGTTTTATTGATTTCTATTGATATGTGGTCTTTTTGAATTTCAGTAACATCCATTTTGAACCATCTACCTTGTCTATATTTCTGTCTGTAATAACAAAAAGAAAAATCGACATAACTATTACTATCAAGTGTAAATTCTTTTGTTTTTCCAATGTGAATTTCTTCTATGTGTTCTTCAGAAGGCAACCAATCAGAAAGTTCATTTTTCTCTACCTTTTGAGCAAATTTTACACATTTTAAATCATCATTTTGTAAGTAAACTGGAGAACTGTAATCATATTGATTCGTCCTTTCACAGTGGTCACATGTGTTATCATCATCATATCCTTCTTTGCATTCATTAACACATGTGTAATTTGCACTACACCCATTGATACACACAGGAAAACATAACAATTCATTAGTTTTAACAATAACTGGATACAAAACAATTGTTAACATCAAGAGTTGTCTTATTGCCATTTGTATTATATTACTTTTTGAGTTTGAATTTATATTGTTTATAATACATAACCATTTTTGATATTTTTCTACCTAAACCAAAAATGGAGTAAAGTTATATTTTAATTATTATAATCTGTTTTTAAAGCATTTCTTACTGACAAGTTCCTAAATAATCTAAAAATGAAAATGTTTGCCAGTAATCAACAATAAAAATGTTGCATTATTTAAATAACAAATTATTTAAATCAAAACTGTTTTATATTATTATACTATATTGGCAGAGCGTTCAAAAAATGATTTTCACAAATAATTTATTTTTGTGTATTAATAAATAATATATGAATAAAAATATAATAATTGATTTAAACATTTAACTTGGGACTTATCTTGATATTTTTGACATTTTAATATATGTTGATTTAATAACAAAAAACAAATTAAACAAAGTTTTAAAATAAAAGCTAATAAGTTAAATAATTTTTAAATGTAACATCTGAAATTATACGGTCTATATATTTATCAAAAACTTAATAAACTATGTTAAATCAACAATTTTGTTATTCATATTTATTACAATCAAATGATTGTAAAATGGATATTTTTCAAAAATAATTTAACAAAAATTATTAAATTATAATTTATGTTTTTGCATTTTTTGAAAAGATAAGATAAATTGTTTTAGAGTAATAACTTTCTACGATATTGCTTGGTTTAGATGTGAATATACAATTTCTATCCTTCAAAAAATAGTAAAAATAAATCAATTAAAATGTTATTATATTTATATTTAAATATAAAAACATTTTTATGAAAATTTTCATTAATACAACAGTTGATTATTGTGCATTTTAGTTTTAGTTTTTTAACACTATATTTACAAAAAACCAAAACAAAAACTGGTTAAATATCTTGAAATAAACAAATATATTCAATAATTTTAAGATAATAATTTATTGTTTATAAACCACACACAATAAAAATATATTAAAAATCGTTCATCTTCTAAATTTATTGTTTTTCAAATAAAGTCATCCTAATAAGTGTACAACTTTTATTTTTCTTTGTTTTTTATACACAACAAAGGTAAAACTCTATTTTTCAACAATAACAAAAACAAAAACAAAAAGTGGAATTAGGTTATAAATCAACATAAAATATAACTCGATATTTAAATGATAAGTTCAACTGCTTGTTTAATTAAAAAGCATTGAAAACAAACATTTCCAATTGTCATACATAACGAATAAAACAGTGTTGTATATCGATTGTGGATGGCGCAGATGTTAAACATCTCGTTTATAAAAAAGAAAATAATGAGACAAGCCAATTCGTGTGATTCAAAGACTTTTTCGCTGCAAATTTTCGATAAACAAAAGGCAGTTGAATGGTGCAACCCAAAAAACTAATTGAAAAAAATGTGCAACTTTAGTTATAGTTTAGTTATAGTATTTTAATTAGAGTAATAGTTTTAAAGAAATTTGTTTGTGTTTTTTTGTTTTGTACATAGTGTGGCTTTTTTTTAACTTTTTATTTATATAAGACTGAAAACTATTTATATAAAGCATTTTGTGCTTAAAAAGTTTGTAATATAAAAACAACGTCCACAATTTCGGGAAATTAATTGTCGTTTAAATTATTATTTTTTAGATTATTTATGTTTTCATTTAAATTTATTATTAAATTTTTAACCCGTTTTTTACTAAAAAATAAACTTAAATTTATTATATTATAATCATAAACATTTAACATTAATTAAAATTATATATATTTTTTTAAAAAAATTGAGATAAATAATTTAAATTTCACATTTATATTTTTAAATAATAATAAATATAATCAAATTTTGCTATATACAAACTTTTTAATTGAAATCTATATATTTTATATATTGTTAATACTTTATAAATATAAAATTACAAATATAAAAAATAAAAAATACGAATAATTAACAATTAATTTTGTATATTGTCTTTTTGCTTTTTATTGAATAATTCAATCTTTCTGCTGTAAATTTTAATGGACTGTTTAAATGATTAATTTGGTTTATTCGATTGAATGTTCTTTCCACATCACTTGTTGAAGGAAATATGGTTAGAAGGACGTCAACTATTTTAATAAGTTGTGATAATTGATTGTTTTTTAATATTTGAAAGACGTCCAACAAACGCACTTTTGCTATATAATTAGTCTTTTTGATCAATATTTGGTCATATTCTGATTGTAGTTGATTATTAATACTGTTATTAATAATTCTTTTTTTGTCTTCAACGTTCAAACGTGATAACAAGTTTTTTAAAATTAACAATTCATCATTTAGAAATAAATAATTGTTGTAACAATTTATATCTGGGTTAATTCTTTTTAATAACAAATCTAGAATATAATATATGTATAATATTTGATTCAAATTGTTATGTATTTCATTATTTTTATAAACATCTTCGTTTATGTATCCACTAGAATAATCAACCATATTATTTATTGAATTCATATTGACAGACATGTTTGGGTATTTAAATCTAAGTTCTGTGTTAATTATCAAAAGCAATAACAGTCTTTCAGTAAAACCGATATCAACAATTAGAATATCTTTAATGTCTTTGAATTCTTTAAAATCTCCCATTCTAAGTTGATGTAAACATGTAGAAAGGTATTTTCTAAACATTGTCGTTCTTTCATAATATTCAGGGAGAGATCCTTCGCTGCTTTGAAAAGTCGAACATAAAACAAACATCATTTTATATAAATGACACAAAACTCTCAATTTATTTTTTGTTTTTAAAGAATTATCACCAAAATAAAAAGGAAAAGTGCACTCAGTTGTATTACGTGTTATTGTTTTGCTATATGTACCAACTTTTTTGTTTTTAAATTCATTCTCAAGTTTTGTTTTAACTCTGGGTATTGAAACATATGACACAATTTCTTCAAAATGTTTCAATACATTATTAATGTTTCTACAAATATACAAAAAACGTGTTTTTGCAAAAGTATCAATTGTAACATTTAACATCTTTTTTGTTTTATAAAAGTCGTCAAGTCTTTTCGTTGAACAGAACCATTTGATAAAAATGACAATTGGCCCTGCATCAGAGTCGCTAGAAAGATCTTCTCCGCATCGATGACATCTGTGAAAATAACACCAAATACCATGGACAGGCTGTTCTATAACATCAAAATGGTTTGTTTTAACATCTTTCACCAAATCATTATATTCTTTGATCACTCCAGATACAACTCCAATTTCGGTAGCATTTCCATTGGTTGTTTCACCAACAACTTTGATACGTGAAATATTTGCTATATCCAACTCATTTTTTTACCATTTTGCAACATCTTTTCCTGATGTAACACCGTAATAAGTTTTTAAAACCAATGGACACAATTTT